TCTGATTTCTCTCTAATGCCATTTATGTTTTCTAGAATTATGCTAAGTGAAGAACAAAGTACACTGTGTTAGTCTCATTTATTACAACCATGTCCATAATTTACAAGCTGATTATGCAAGCTTCATACAAGGGAAATCAGAGAATAGTTAACCACTGTCAAAGAATGGTGAGCCAGCATACATTTTATCAACTACATTTTTTTGCATAGTTACCTAAAAAGGAGCAGCAGGGTCTACAAGTTCACTTTAACTGGAATTAATTCTGAAAAGAACTTTTTTACGATAACTGTATTAAAGGCATTAGGGAACAGCCAGGTGTTCTAACAGTTGAATGTGACACAGAGCTAAATATAATGACAAAAGAAAGATCAGTATGGAGGTAATGTGCTTTGCAATAATATTCTTTTGAATAAAATCTAAGTAAGTTAGGAGATTCACAGCGAGAAAAATATTAATACACTAATATTAATTTTCCTTTTGATGAGACATCTTTTGTTGTTGCTCTTAATTAAAAATGTACACATTTAAAAGCTAACAGTTTGACAGCTGCTTCCATTCGGGAGGTAAAAAGTAAAAAATGTTTTCTTATGTGGGTTTTCTGAAATATTAAAATTTCAGAATTTACTTCAATTTTTTTTGCTATATAAAATAATAGAGTTAATGCCTTTGAACAACTCTATTACAGAAACACTAATTATTTTTACATAAATACATTTCACAGTCCATTTAGTTCTCCAAGATACTTTATTACACCAAAATCACTGCAGAAAAACAATGCTTTCATGTTGATAGCACAGGTATACTATGCTCTACAAGAGTAAAGATATCATTAGAAAAAATTTTGATCCCATAAAATGACAGACTTGGCATAATTACAACATTTTGCATAAGTTACTTAAGGGTTTTCAATTTTAAAATCATAAAACTCCATTTAAGAAGAAAAAATACTTTAAAAAAATTCAACACATATTAGATTTCCCAATATGTGATAAGCACTGTATATCAAAATCATATCTTAATTTATTCAGTGCCTGATTATAAAATGACTACATCAAATCTGTAATTAAGGTATCTTGAAACTGTAAAACCCTCAATAGCACCCCCCCACCACAACCTCTGCGTCCTGCCCCAAACACACACCCATAGGCTTTTACATGTAAGATAAGGCACCCAAAGCTCTGAGCCAGTAATTCATGTCATTTCCATGACACTCTTGCAGCTAAGATCAACTGGAATAGAATTAAACAAATGCTATTCCTGTCTTTATTCAGTCCTTTTGCCCTCAAGTCCTGACCTGCATTCCTTCTTCTAAACACCAAAAATGCTATATCCAGAAATGTAATTCATTTTAAGTATTCTTCATAATAAGCATGAGATATATCTACTTTATCTTAGTGAATAGTTGCACTCCCATAACAAGCAGATTTCTACTCAGTTGAAAGTTCGACTTTAAAAAATTAAAAATATTTTCTATTTACTGGAAAATATCTCAAACTAGACTTAGATGTGTGTCAGATACATAAGCTACATAAAACACAAGTGGAAACCAGTTACACCCATATATAATATACAATTTACTATTTTCATTTTTTGTTGTCTTCTAGAAAACGTTATATAGAAATGAGGAATTAAAAATATATCTTCTAATGGAAAAATATAGAACATCTTCATTAACATTACTTAAACGAGTCAAACATTTTTTTTAAGATTTATTTGAGAGAGACAGAGAGAAAGCCAGGTGGAGAGGGGGAGAGAGAGAGAGAATCCCAAGCAGATACCCCACTGAGTAGGGAGCAGCTCATGACCCTGAGACTGTGACCTGAGCTGAAATCAACAGTGGGGTGCTCAACCAACTGAGCCAGCCAGGTGTCCCCAAACATGTTTTGAAGATTTGTAGCATAAAATATTCCAAGAAAACTAAATTTTGTAATTTGTCTAAGTTCCTTTAGAAGGTAATTTATTTCTAGAAATTAAAATAAAAAATAGCATGTTCACTTTGAGAATCTAAAAAGGAGGAAGATACAGTGAATAAAATTTTAAAGAAGGCATTTAACCACTTTTATAATCATAGTCTTACAATTTGCAAAGAAGTTCAAAAGAACACATAGTAATGTTTTCAAATTCATGTGTTGAAAACTCAAAAGTGTAAAATAGGGAATGGTTTCTCAAAATATTGTATTTGTGCAAATTTAGATGTAAGTGGAGTTAATAAAAAGCTTACATTAACTATTTCCTTTAAAAGTTAACTTCAAAAAGAATAAGTATATGAATATTCCTTTAGAAGTAGTTGAGGGAACTAAAATACCTATAAAGATCCCTAACTGTACCCATACTGATTCTCTCCTACCCCTCTCTTCTACCCCTCATTCATAGTAGATGATAAAATACAAAATTAAATTACTCCATTCTTCATCTGGCCTTGATCATATCCAGAGCTATTTATCTAAACCTAAGCCTTCTGTAGAAAATCAGTGGCCAAATCCTAAAGGTTTCCCTTTACCTCACTGCAGAATTTCCCCAGGCTCCATGCTTGTCTGTGAGAATGTTGATAATTTTCTGGATTAGTTGAGTTGCTGTCACATGGTCTCGATATTTAGCTGCTCTTATCAAATGATCACACATCTTCTCATCTTCTCGTTTGTCTGCTGAATATTGGGCACACAGTGACTTGGATAGGAAAAAAGAAACATCTATTAATACTATAAAAATATGAGAAAAAAACTACAACACACCATGAAATAATCTCTAACAGGAATTGAACTAACCAAAACTTTAAAATTATTTTTATATCCCTCATTAACTGAACTGACTGAGATTTAGTGATCTACTACCTCAGTTTAACAATCCTGCAAGAATTTATTTCTCTGAATTCATTCATAAGACCCACACTCAGAAGTAGTTTTTAAGCAGACCTAAATAATTGGAAGAAGCCAATCATGTGAAGATGCAGGGGTCCACATGACAAGTAGCAAGAAGCGGACTACAAAGCAGTCCAGGCAAAGTGACTTAGAGTAAGAATGTCCTAAAACAAGAAGGATTATAATCATACCCACATTGACAAACTGGCTCAGGGAAAGGCACTCAGGAAGAACGTTTATACCTTCAACATTACCTACTATATCCATAATCTGCTTTGTCTAACCTCACCTGATAAGAGGAAATTAAAATTATTGATGAAAATTAGATAATTACTGGCTTCTATACTGCCCCAACACCATATACATTCATATTAAACAGTATTAAAAATAGCAAAACAAATCCTTGAATAGTCCATTTTTTCTTTTATTAATATTACACAAATTTAACTATCAAATTTACTTTGTAAACATTTGGTAAGTCATTAAACTTTGCTTGAAAAGGCATAATTCTAAACAGACGATTCCAAAGTAAGCTAAATAGTAAAATGGCTTAAAGTGTTCTTTAATGGATCCTCCTTTACAATTTAAACAGCAACTTTTCATATCTGACATAAAATCTATAGATATAAATCACATTAAAGGGCTATTCTTTCCCGATTATCAATCTCTGTCTCATTGTGGAACATTAGAGTCACATTCTGACCTTAAAACATGATAAAAGGAAACCAAACAAGAATGTTTTGTAAAGATATAATAAACCTGTATCTATTTTTTAAAATATCTTTAAAATGTAATTTGAACACGTTCTTATTAAAAACCAATAATATATTCTATGTATGACATATCATTCAAGTGAACAAGAGATGAAGAATATTTGCTTCAAGATCAAATGCATGTTACTTATTGGTGGAGTATATATTTGCAATATGTGTATGTGCTTGTGGTTGAAGGTTGAGTGGAGGTACCCCAAGAAACCCTACTCACCTATCAATAAAATCAAGGGCCAGGTCTAATATTTTCACTCAGCTTTACTTTACATCAACTTTTCTGTTTTCCTATTTTAAGCAACACATAAACTAGGTGACATCACAACAATGACCACAAAAATATTTGAATCTTAACAAAAATACCTGAATCTAAAAAGAAAAGAAGTAGACATCTTGGGAACTAACAACTCAAATACATTTGATTATTGCTAAAGAAATTTAAGACTTACTACCATAGAATTAATAAATATAAGACAAACCTACATCTTTTTTTTTTAAGATTATTTATTTATTTATTTATTTGAGAGAGAGAGAATGAGAGACAGAGAGCATGAGAGGGAGGAGGGTCAGAGGGAGAAGCAGACTCCCTGCCGAGCAGGGAGCCTGATGCGGGACTCGATCCCGGGACTCCAGGATCATGACCTGAGCCGAAGGCAGTCGCTTAACCAACTGAGCCACCCAGGGGCCCGACAAACCTACATCTTAAAAGAAATTCACTTACTTGCAGATAAAGTGATAACTGAAGACAAACAGTTTAGACTGGCCATTTATAATTCAAGTGACTATTCCAGCTCTTTAAATGTAAATGAAGACATAAAAACAGTATCATATTTGGTGGTCTTTCCTTCCAGATGCTGTATCTCTACCTAACTTTATTATTTGTCCTTTGCATGAAAGCTCAGAGGAGTGAACTTAAAGTGAAGGAGATTCCTCAAGTATCCTCCTGTCATCGCTCCCTTCTTGACGGTCAACCTTTTTCCTTTATTATTCCTCATTATGAAATGCTGGCATTTCCTTAAGGCTTTGCCAAATGTCCCCTGGCAATATCATTCACTCCCACATTATCTCCTATTATCAATTTAGATCTATCTTTCAAATTTTTCATATCTGCCACAGCTGTTACCCTGAACTCTGGGCCCATATTTCTATCTGTACGATAATCTCCAATTATCCAATAAGTACCTAAAATTCAAAATGTACAGAACTGTAATTACCATCTTTATCCCAGCTATTATACATCTGCCATTTGTGACCTCTCAATTTTCACTCTCTTCATATCTCATCATACCATTTCAGCAAAACTCAGTTACCTCTTACCACTTATCACTCTTATCACTGCCCTAAAACAGATCATTATTAGTTCACAATTCAGTTCTTGAAATAATCTTATAACTGCCCTCTTACAAACAGTCCCAGAATTACTTCAAGAAGAATTTCTTTTGGCATTGCACAGATACATTTATATAGCCTACACTTTAAAAAGTACGTGATTATCTAAAATAATGAACAATTAGGATGAAATTTTACTAGCTAAGACCTTGTGTCCCTCTATAATTCAGCAATGTGGTATATTATCTTTCAATATGTCTGCCTATGAATCCTACATGCCAGACACACTCAGATTTTATGCTATTCCCCAAATATCTATCCTTGAGACATTTTCAAGACTTAGGAAATACATCTCTCCTATAGCCTTTGTATGTGAAACAAATTTAAAGATGTCTATTGAGAAGGTAAGATAGAAATTTGAAGGACAAACTACGAGAGAAGAGAAAGTTATTGAGAAAGTTAGAAATACAGAGGTCCTCTTGATTCTTTAGCAGAATATATAGACTGAAAAAAATGTCTGAAAAGTTCTAAAATAATTGAAAATTAAGCAGTTCAACTCCAAATAACTTATGGATCAAAGATGAAAGCACAAGGAAAATCAGAAAAATTTGTGCCAACTGGATGAGACAAATTTAAACAAAAATGTGTATCTTCACATGTTATATTATAAAATATTAAATATTTAAGGAAGAAATGATACAAACCTTAAACTCTTTTCACGTGATAGAAGCTAAGGAATACAATGCAATTTACATTACAGGAATAGAAAACTAGAAACTAATATAATTTGGATAAATAAACACAAAATCCATAACAAAACATTAGCATTCAGCTATACACAAAATAAAGAATACATCATGATGAAGAGTTTATCCATGGAATGCAAGGTTGATTTAATATTTGAATATCAATCACTCTAAGTCATCATATAACAAAAAAAGGATAAAAACATATAACCTCAATAGTTGTTTTTTTTTTAAAGCATTTTACAACACTCAGAAGCATTTCGTGATTTAAAAAAAACAAAAAGACACTCCACAAACTAGTAACAGAAAGAGACTTTTTAAGGGAAGCATATCTATGAAAATCATTTAATTAAAATTGGGGATAAAACAACTATGTCCTCTCTCTCATGACTTCCATTCAATACTGTAACAGGGTCCTAAACAGTTCAAAAAAGAGATAAAAAGAAGAAATAAAAAGACAGTTTAGAAAAGAAGAAATAACACAGTATTTATTTGTAGATATGTTCATGTATGTAATACTCCTAAAGGTTCTGGAAAAACTACCAAAACTTGTAAGTTGACAAGTTTCTTGGCTACAAGGTCAATATATTAAAAATTAATTGTATGTCTATATACTGACAATAACCAACTGGAAAATGAAAATAATACTCTTTACAATAGCATTAAAATATAAAATAAATTTAAAAATATACAAAGCTATACAATGAAACTTTTATAAAACACTGCTAACAGAAATTAAAGAAAACTAAGTGGAGAAATAGACAAAATAGATTTTACAGATCTATAAAATCAATTTGAAGAGAGTAGGTATTCTGATAATATGGAGTTTTAAAATCTGAAAACAGGGGCGCCTGGGTGGCTCAGATGGTTAAGCCTCTGCCTTCAGCTTGGGTCATGATCCCAGACCTGGGATTGAGCCCCATGTCCAGCTCCTGGCTCAGTGGGGAGAGCCTGCTTCTCCCTCTGCCTCTCCCCCTGCTCGTGCTCTCTCTCCCTCTGTGTCTTGAATGAATAAATAAAATCTTGAAAAAAAAAATTAAAAATAAAATAAAATCTGTAAACATTGTCTATTTCTCCACTTACTTAGTTTTAATTTCTGTTAGCAGTGTTTTATAAAAGTTTCATTGTATAGCTTTGTATATTTTTAAATTTATTTTATATTTTAATGCTATTGTAAATAGTATTATTTTCATATTCAACACAATCTTAATTAAAAAGTTAGCAGCCTTGGGGTGCCTGCATGGCTCAGTTAGTTAAGCATCTGACTCTTGATCTCAGCTCAGGTCTTGATCTCAGGGTTGTGAGTTCAAGCCCTGTGCTGGGCTCCACGCGTGGAGCCCCCTTAAAAAAAAATAAATAAAAAGTAAAAATAAAAAATTAGCAGCCTTTCTTATGGATATTGACAAGCTGATTCTCAAGCATATATATATATATATATATATATATGTATGTATATAACAAAACAATGACAAAACAGTTTTACATAAGAAAAAGAAAATTGCAGAATTTAATTGTTTGAATAATGTTATAAAATCTGAAAATGAGAAGAGTTTGAGTTGTTAAATGAAGAAAGAATATCTTTTCGACAACTGGTACTAAAACATCTGGCCACTCACAGGGGAAAAAAAGAAAGAAACTTGTCTTCCCTTCATACCATAAACAAAATGTTTGATTCAAAATGAACCAAAGATCTAGATATAAAAACTGTAACACTTCTAGAAGAAAACATAGCAGAAAATCTTATGACCCTGGGGTAGGCAGAAAATTCTTACATTAAAATTCTTAGACATAAAAGGAACCATAAAAGAAATTCATAACCATAAAGAAACTGATATATTAAACTATACCAAAGTTTATAAAATCTTCTTTAAAAGGTACCATTTAGAAAATGAAAAGATAAGCCACAAATTGGGACAAAATATTCACCATACGTCTAACAATTTTCCTATAAGATACAGAACTCTCAT